CCTATCTGTGTCCTGCCGTCTTTTAGAAAGTAGGCGTGGGGGTCAGCCAGTAGAAGGAGTGTGGGCTTTGGAGTCCCATAGCAGTGGACTCAGATCTCACTTAGATGTGTGTGACCTTGGAGAAAACATCACTCTGGGGCTCAGTTTTCTCTTCTTTCCAAGAGAAAAATCCCCTGCTTGACTGTGAAAAGTGAGGTTTGCATGAGTTGATGTCCTCCTGTAGCTGCCATTCTCCTTATTCTTCTTCTTACGTTGTTATTGTTATCATTAGTGGCAATCGTGTTTTATTAAAAACCTTTTGTGTGATAGTTTTCATCTGGTATTCTCCCAAGGTGGCCACTCCCCTATTTTTGGAGCTTGGTTTTCCAAGTTCTGAGTTAAAACAGTGTTTCCTCCTACTTCAGAGCTCTCACCTCTGTTCCTTCCACACCAGAAGTGGGAGGAGCAGGGCAGGTGCCTGAGAAGTGAGTCTTCTGACCTCCTTTCTACTGGTGCTGGCTATGATAAGGAGCATTATAAGGAGGACCTCCTTCTAAAAAGAGAGGTCGGAAAAAGAACCAGATGTTTACAGCAAATAATGAAAAGTTATTTTGAAGATTTGTCTCTAAATCAAGTGGAAAGTATGAAACTGTTTATTTTTTAAATAAATTTAGGTTATAATTGCAGCTGTCCTCTAATTTTCCAAAGAAACAAATGTAGTGGGATTTTAGGGGCCAGGAGTTTAGTGTTTCTGATGAGATGATAAAACAGCACAATATTGAATCCTTCACTTTACATTTGATTTTTCTCAGAATGACCACAAAAAGGGTCAAATATAGTAAAGAATTTGATCTGTTTTCCCAGGTGTTTTTCTTATTCCCTTGCTGTTGAAATTATTCTCCTTGGAAGTACTTCGCATGTCTTCTCTGTAGCAAGTAGTTTTTCATGTTTCTGCCTCTGACGGATGCTAATGTGCCAGTGGCTTCCTGTGTGATTGGAGCTGTTCAACATTACTTTCATGGACTTCATATCTTGCCTCTTTCTCAAGATTTCCAATTGACTTTATACCTTGTACCTGTATTGCATTGCTCGATATTTACAACGTTAGGCAAACAGAGAGATATTGACCAAAGATGTAGGTCTAATAGCAAGAGTACTAATTAGTTAGAGATACTGGCGTAGGAACTAATTTTATACTTAGGAGTAGAGGTTATGATGATTTGTGGCACCATATGCAACTGTGGGGATTTGAATATTGACAATATCTGAATATGGAGGCCACTTCTGTACTCAACACATATTTACTAATTCAACAGGTTAACCTCCCCTTGCCTCAGAGTCTGTGTCTGCAGAGTGAGCATCATGATGTTACCAGAAAGGGGTCCCAATCCAGACCCCAAGAGAGGGTTCTTGGACCTCACACAAGAAATAATTCAGGGCATGTCTGTAAAGTGAACGTAAGTTTATTAAAAACGTAAAGGAATGAAAGGATGGCTATTCCATCGGCAGAGCAGCCCTAATGGCTGCTGGTTGCCCATTTTTATGGTTATTTCTTGATGATATGCTAAACAATGGGTGGATTATTCATGCCTCTCCTTTTTAGACCATAGAGGGTATCTTTCTGACATTGCCGTGGCATTTGTAAACTGTAATGGTGCTGGTGGGAGAGCAGCAGTGAGGATGACCAGAGGTCACTCTTGTTGCCGTCTTGTTTTTGGTGGGTTTTAGCTAGCTTTTTTTACTGCAACCTGTTTATCAGCAAAGTCTTTATGACCGGTATCTTGTGGTGACCTCCTATCTCATCCTGTGACTTAGAATGCCTTAACTGTCTGGAAATGCAGCCCAGCAGGTCTCAGTCTTGTTTAACCCAGCCCCTATTCAAGATGGAGTTGCTCTGGTTCAAACACCTCTGACATTTCCCCCTTACCTTTTATAAGAAAACCTTAATTTACCACAGGCCAGGAACCCTGTACAGGGACTGTATAGACAGGTATGGGGCTAGTTTTTCAAGGGCTTTTCTTGGCTCTCTAAGTCACGTTTGATTCCTTAAAAGAAAACACACCATTCCAGTCAAAGCCTTGGTAAAACAACCAGTTTCTCCAATTGTGTCCTGTTACAGAAGACAACAGATTCTTACTGCACTGAAGTAAGAATGTTTTCTTTTATAACAGGGCAAAGAACTATATTGCCCAGAGCAAAATACATGTGACAAAACACAGACATTAGCCCCTCTGCTTAGTGCCCAGTATCAAACTGGCAACACTCATACTCGCCGTCCGTTGGGCCTCATCACTGTTAATCCAACCTCCTACCAGGAGTTTCAACTTGTTGCCTCTGGGCAATATGGTGGCCTCGAGTTACAGAAAACATGAAAGGAGAGAGAGGAAAGCATTGCCTGACGCCAGGTGGGGAAGGTGAAGAGCTCAGCGAGACCAGAGGAAGACCCACCTATTTCAGTCAAACTGAAAAGTTTAGGCTGCCACTTGTTGGTAGTGAAGGGATCTTCTCCAGCAGTCTCATCAGCTCTCAAGTTTCTCTTTTTTGGGGGAGGAAAAAACTCCCTATGTCCCATTGTCCTATACATGTCTCATCCTGTCATCCATAGCCCTCAGCAAAAAATGCAAGACAGATTAATCCAAAGAGAATAGTAGTTAACATTCCATAGTGCCAAACCCATTCTTAGCCAAGAGGAACTTTACTGAGAAGCTCCTCTAACCCCCTAAATCCTAGGAAGGACTCTAACTTTCCTAAGTTGAGCCTTGAACCCAAGTCCGAGCAAGTGTCCTTGCCTTTCATTAATAGGAGCCTTTAACCCACTCTGTCTTAGGAGAGATTCTAACTCCCCTAAGTTGGGTCTCTAACCCAAGCCCATTCTTTACCCAGGTTGATGCACCCCACTTACCCAAAGTCAGCCAGTTGGATCGGGGGTCTCTTCCGTATCATCCCTTTGGGATTCACCAGAAAGATGTTACTGAAAAGGGTCCTGATGCAGACCCCAAGAGATGGTTCTTGGATCTCATGTAAGAAAGAATTCAGAGCAAGTCCATAAAGCAACTTGAAAACAAGTTTTGTAGGAAAGAAAAGGGATCAAGAATGGTTACACTGTAGGCAGAGCATCCCTGAGGGCTGCTGGTTGCCCATTTTTAAGGTTTTTTTTGAAATTGTAGGCTAAACAAGGGGTGTATTATTCATGCCTCCCCTTTTTAGACCATATAGGGTAACTTCTTGACATTGCCGTGACGTTTGTTCACTGTCATGGCGCTGCTGGGAGTATAGCAGTGAAGATGACCAGAGGTCACGCTCATCACCATCTTGGTTTTGGTAGGTTTTAGCCAGATGCTTTACTGCCACCTGTTGTATCAGTAAGGCCTTTATGACCTGTATGTTATACTGACCTCCTATCCCATCCTGTGGCTTAGAATGCCTTAACTTCCTGGGAATGCAGCCCAGTAGGTCTCAGACTCATTTTCTCCAGCCCCTAAAGATGGAATTGCTCTGGTTCAAATACCTCTGACAGTGATATTTAGGTCAGCAAGGATTTGTCTATTATGACCCAATGTAGGCTAAGTTAAAACTCATTGTAGTACTAGTATAATCTAAGGCATTACTGTCCAAAAGAACTTTCCACAGAGATGGAAATGTCCAAAAGTGTAGCCACTAACCAGAGGTAGCTGTGGAACCCTTGAAATGTGACTCGTGTAACTAAGAAACTGAATTTGTAGTTGCTTTTAATTAAGTTGAAATTAAATTTAAATTTGCATAAGGCTGGTGGCTACCATATTGGAAACACAGCTCTGTGAGATTGTTTCCATAATGCTATCTCCTGACAATGGGGAAAGTTTATCGAGACTCCCACCAAAACCAAGGTAGTTTCCCTGAGGCCGAGGAGAGCTTCTTCAATAACAAGGTTGTGAACAGGTTACCCAAGTAATTCTTCTGATTCCTTTGTATGATCATGAGAAGCTCTGCTGTTCACCATAACAGCCAACCCTTTTATAAAGGCTGCTAGCAGGGCTTTAAATTTTCTGTTGATTCTGCAGTCACTGTCTAGTAATAAAGGATGGACCTTTCTGACCAGCTCACTGCTGCCCTTTTGTGCCTAACCAGAACCAACCCTGCGGATAGGCAAATATCCCAGAAAACATCAGCCCGGTGGTGGCCTGGAGCTAGGCGGAATTTAGCTCAGAGTAAAGATATGTTACAAATTAAATGTTGCAGTCGGTATGTAAAGCTGCAATAAATAGAAACTGAGTTACATCAAGGACTGAATTAAACCTTAAGTTTAAACTCCACAGCACTATAATTAAAACTTAGCCTGTAGCAAATCATTCACTTGAGATTAAAGTAGTGTGGGGGAAGCAGAGGTTTGGGCTTACCTTGCTTTCTACAATTTATAAGTATGAGCTACCAAAAGCTAACAGCCCTGCCCCCAAATCCAGCTCCCAATTAAAAACACAGTTTGAAAACCTTTAGGAGGCCTGAGGGGCCCCTTTAACAGAAGTCTGCCCCTTCCCCCCTGCCTCAGTCTATGAACAAATTAAAAAATATTACCTGGTCCCCTGATGGTCCTCTGAGCTGACACGGTGTTTTCATTAATACATCATTAGGGTAATGACATTGTGCTGGCATTTTGCTTTCGAAACAGCCTGCACTTCAACCGCCAATACAGGCTCGGGGGCTTCTGTGCACTTTGTTCCTGGGAAGTATTATTCAGGTCATATAGAGGAAAAAAAAAAAGACAAACTGTAACTCATCATTGTTTAATGCATGTGCTTTTTATCCCAATCTGGATCATTCAAGACTTGTTCGGTGTTTTTTGTTTGTTAGTTTTGCAGAGTGAACACCTGGGTTATCTTAACCATGGCCTTAATGCCTAGAGCCAGCAGGTTTTTGCAATTCCCTGAAAACAGTTGCCTTCCAAAAATACAGGTTTCTCTCGGGTTGGAACTACGGCGTTCCGTTTAACAGCAGTGTGATGGCCTGAAGTTGAAGCTGTTGTTTTTTTGTTTTTAATTTTCTAGACTGTGAACTGTTACCTCATAGACAATAATGGATTTATTTTGGTGTCTGAAGACTACACACAGGTGAGTGAAAATTTTCTACCGACTCAAAGTAAGGAGCTCAGAATGTGCTTGGGTTAGGGGGAACAAATTGTGGTGTTAAAACTTTGAGACAATGATCTTTATTTAGGAGGTAATAGCAGGAGATTATAAAACCTTATTTCCATCCCTCTAAGAATGCCACAGTCTGCTTCTCAGCAGGCCCCAAAGAGTTTTTACCTCCCAGTGTGGGGTACAGGGGGGTGACAGTGCCCGGGGTCTGTTCTCTCACTCATAAAATGTTCAATTTATAGAACTCTTAGCCTTAGAGTTGTCTGTGCCACATAAAGAACTTTTCCCTCAAGGGTGGAGTGCCTTAAATAGTTTGTGCAACTTTCAGATGATTTTTCCTTCTGATTTTTCACCTTCATATGCATGCACACACATACATGTATGTTTCTACATAATGTTTATGGCTTTTTTCTGATTTTTGCTTTTTAAAAATCAGTTATCTGAGTTCAGGGATTAACAGCTTGGGCTCTCAACACCAAGGGACAAGGGTCCAGAGATGGAAGAGGAATATTCTCATTTGACTGCACCATGTGCAGCATAGGGGCAGGAGGGAGACAGATGAAAAGAAACCAAGCTGTGAGCTTGAGCACAGAAATCTCCACTCTGCCTGAAAATCAAAATAACTGTTAAAGTCAATGGTATTGTATTTGAGAAACAGGTTTTTCCATTCAGATTTGCTGCATTAAAACTTTTCCTGAAATGAGAAATGACATTAACGTATAAAAAAGGTAAAATACAAACAAGTTTAACAGTGCATATAATAAAGTAACACCACCAGAGAAGGAAGCTGGTTGCTGATGTCAGCACTCTTTCTTAACTAGTTTTGGGATTATCAGCAAGTTCCTTAACTTGTCTGAACCTCTAGATAGGTTCTGTACAGTGAGGACGGTTGACTATATAAGGTTTCTTCTAACTCAAATATTTGAGTATACCAATACATTATAATGAAGTCCCTTGTAAATTATTTAAAAGTCTTTAGTGGCCAGCAGTATGATAGGTTCGTTGCTTAATTAGTTAATCATCCTCAAGTGTGGCTTTTTAGGGTCTGAAATGAATGGTTTGGTGATTTGTAAACAGGGGCTCCAGGAAAGTTGAGGAATTGTGCTTTCATTTCCTCTCTCATTTTATGAGAATGTTATAGAATTTTCAGTGTGCCTTGCTTACACTGTTGAGACTCAGAATGCCCATTCCCAGTCTCCTGATGCTGAACATCACTAGACAGGGGACAGTCGATGGACATTAGTGAGATGAATGGGCCTATGAAACAAGGCCAGTCCCTGAGACAGCAGGAAAGTCCTTTGGCCTATAGTTATATGCCCCTTTGGCTGGGAGGAGGAACATAGGCATTCAAGAATCTATGGAGCAAGAACCCAAATAAGTTGTCTGGAAGGAGGAGCTCTATTCGTCTGCTCTACTCATGTAGGGCTGAGATAGGAATGATCCCAGGGCTCAGGAAGGATACAGTGGATGTCTTCCAGGGGTGAGTCCTGGACCAGCCAACAAGTGATGGAAACAGTGAGTGAGTCTGTTTCAGCCATGAGCAGCCATGACCACTACAGATTCCCTGCTCTGTCTCTCCATGGAATAAGCCTGCAGTAGACCCAGTGAGCCTGCCAGCCTGCTTGGCCTGGGCTTGTTTGATGTTGTCTGACTTCCTGTGCCCCAATTAGGATAATTCTTCTCCATCTAACAACCAGTTTCATTGAAACTGGCATATTTATACACACGAAATACAAATGTCCTTGCTCCTAGCAGTAGTACATGCCCATAGAGTTTACAAAAGTTTCCAAGTTTCCCTGTAGTGAAAAAGGAAGTGCTCAATATTCAGTCAGAGAAATGCTGTTTCCTTCTTCCTCCTTTTCAGCTCCCTGTACATTTTGCCAAAGTTTTTGTATATATCTTGCTGCCTGAAAACTCCCAGGAGTGTGGTTGAAGTCACTCAGTTGCAATGGAATTGGGGTTTAGTTAATACAAAGCCTAAGGAATTTATATAATTTGGATTCGTATTGCAGTGCCCTCCACCACCTACTCACAAGCTATAAATCTTCAGGGCACCCAGAGCAGAGATGGGGCTTCTCTGCTGGGCAACACTGGCTCATTCCAGCATGTTGGCAGAAGAAGGCGGTTGCTGCAGACTCTGTTCCATGCACTTCATATGCCCTCCCCCATGGGACACCTTGCATGATAGTGGCTCCAGAAGTTAAGAGGGCATGCATGAGGATGTTAATCCTTCATTCCACCATTCAAAGTTCACAAATCTTGGCAAGCACCAAGAAGTAGATTTACAAAAACATCAGCCTGGTGGCGTGGAATGACTGCAAAGCTTCAAATGACCTTCAGACAGCCTCAGATGGGGGGGAAGGCCATTACAAGTCTGATGGCCATGCTGCCTCCTCAAGGGGCTGGATAGTCTTACTCTTGGTCAATGTGTCAACTGCCTATGACAAAATGAAAGTGATCCTCAGAAAGCGATTCTGAGAAAGGACGGATTCTCAACTGCAGGAAATTTATAGGGCTGATGAAGTGGACTGCTATATTTCCCTAAACAGGTCATCCAGGAATTATAAACAATTATTTTTATTAGTGCTTAGGAAGCCCTCTCATAGCCTGTTTCTGCCTATATGAGTAGTCTTTTAATCACAAGGGATTATGTGCAGATTACTACCTACTCCATCCAAGGGTAGTGGGGTATGTGTGTGTGCACATGCGTGTGCGTGCATGTTTTAATTTCAGCATTCAGCATGAGTTACCCAACCCCCTCCCATGTACTGTGGAAGCGTGCACATCTGCTCACTAGTTTGCTTTGTAATCCTATAACTTCTCATGACTGTTAAAACCTTTTCTACTTTCCTGAAAACCTGCCTTTTGCTCCTCTCAGTTCCAAGACACAGACTGTGTCCCTTTACATTTCTTCTCTCCTGTTTGGCCACATTATTTATCTACACCTCCTCATATGTCTTCTTCCCCATAGACTGGAGACTTTTTTGGTGAGATCGAGGGAGCTGTGATGAACAAATTGCTAACAATGGGCTCCTTTAAAAGGTAAGGGTTTTATGGTCCATTGCATTCCCCCCAAAAGTTTTCCTAAATAAAATAAAACAAACCAAGGTCAAATAAAGCAAGCCCAGACTTGACCCCGTAGCTGGTTTTTACTTGTGTTCATGCTCCAAAAGATCTTGCTGAAATTCGATGCCTCTTGCCTGAGTGTTAGGGGCTTAGAAACTCAGCTCACAATGAGTTTCCTGTTCACCCAGCAGAGAGTTTATTGGAGGCCAATATTGAAGTAGGAGGCTGCACTGTGATATGATTGTGTCAGTCTGAAGCAAGTCACTGTGAAGAATTAGGAAAGGCTTTCACCTGGCCAGAAGGGTAGAGTGTATTTCGTCTCCTGCTGATGAACCTGGGAAGCTTCCTAGAACTCTGGCACTTAGGGATGAAAGGTGATATTTAGAGACTTCTTGATGTCATTTTAGAAAATCAAGTGAAAATTCTCAAAACCCGCTCTTGATGGAGGTAAGTTTAAGTCTGCTTCTGGAAGAAAACCTAGATGGTGCCAAATTCCATAAGTGGCAGGTACTGACTACTCATCCAGGGGTGAGAACTCTCGCTGACCCCGAATAAAGCTTGTGTAGAACAGCTTCCTTATGGCCCCATGTCCCTCATGGGCAGAGCAGCCACGCTCTTGGGAACACCTGCACTTCTGGGTAAAGACATCACTCAATGAGATCAGTGTGTTAGAATGTCTCCCTGGGGTCTGTGCTGTCTCCCCTACCTTGGCCTCCCAGGAAGAATGTTAGCCTTTGAAGTGGTGTTTTAATGGGCATATTTGATGCTGCTAAATATATAATGGCATGGAATCCAAGGATGGCCCTCCAGCTTCCCTGAGAGATCCATTGCACATTGGCGACCAGTAGGTAGGCAGGCCCTTGGTTTATTACTCCCCTGCAGCTGAATGGCTAGGAAGTGTTAGCTCAGGAAATCAAACTTTTAAGCCAGTCAACAAGACCGACTGAGCACTTTGCTGAAAGCAGGGAATTCAAAAATGATGACCCAGTTTTTGAAATTCCATAGCTTATTTGTGCCAGAAGGGAGGAAAAAAAAAATGATATAAAAAACTGACCTAGCACCAGCACTTCTTCCATCTCTGACACGCTTGCTGGTTCTCAGGCCTGCCTGTAGCAGATCGTCCCCTCCTGCTCCTTTCCCTTAAAAAAAAAATTCAAGTACAGTTTTCTTCTTCGCCAGGAGTCGTACACATGCTTGAAAACTCTGCTTGGATCTGAGCTGCCTTGGCTGTGGAGTTTTCCATGACTTCTTCAAGCTTCCTGCGGCAGCTCCTGGCCTGCCATCCAGGGCACCGCTGACTTTTCCTATCTTTATGTGGATGTGTGCATTTGTATCCTGTTAACTTGTTTTCAACTGGGTTGGGGGAGGAGACAAAAGATGAAGAATAATCGCACACATGTTTCTCATTTGAAAGCACATTTTTCAACTTCTTTAACAAACCTACTTTTTTCCTCTCCCTCTTGGATATTCCTTTCAAACTGTTTGGTGGGAGAAAGAGAAAGGCTGTAATGGAATTTTGAACCTCTGGTCTTCTCCTTCATGTGGGTGAAAGTGCAGTTGGCATGAATCTGGAACTTTCTTTTACTATAAGAGTAGCCAACATAATTGAGAAAATGGAAGGGCTAGAAACTCAATTATTACATCAACTTCTGTCATCCAGGAGCTAGTTGACAAACCTCCTGGGCCTCTTTGAAGGCCCTCCTCGTTGGGCCAGTAGAACATTGAGAGTTTGAGTTTTGGAGTCGGACAGACTGGGGTCAAATCTAGGCTCTGACATTACCAGTTGCTTGACTTAATCAGGTTACCTCTCCAAACACTGGCTTCTCTACATGGAAAATGACAATGACAATAATTGCTTCCAAGGGTTGCTGTCAGAGCTAGTGAGATTATAATAAGCATAACGTTCTTAGCATAGATCCTGGCATATGTGAAGAGCTTGATTAGTTGTGAGCTGCAGCTGTGATTTTTGTCGTTGTAGATCTTTGCCCTGTCTTGGATTTGCTTTCCACTTGGCACCAGGTATCGCTTCATCTACATTTACACCTTGCCTGGCAGGCTTCCCATGACACCTTATGATGAGTCTCTAGTGTTGGAAGACCATAGTCCTTGAAATCACACATTTGGGTCCTTGCCCTTCCCAGAATGCAGGGCTTGCTCAGAGCATCAGGTTGACAGTCCTGTCATTCAGAGAAGATCTTTATTTCAGAAGCATTGAACAGATATAGTTGGCTGTAACTGACAGCACTGTGGGTAAAAAGTCATGCACTATATTGAATTGAGCCCACCCCCAAACATGGGTTACATGAAGCTGCATTGCTTTGGTTAGCCCAGGTGAAACTTGGGATCAGTTCACTGTGCTGACCGCTCATTTCAGCATCTTGGGCAGCACTGGAGTGGCCCTCAGTTTCTTTATCTGATAGGCTTATACCCAATCCTAAAGAAACAAATTTCAGGCTGGGCGCAGTGGCTCACACCTGTAATCCCAGCACTTTGGGAGGCTGAGGTAGGTAGATCACTTGAGGTCAGGAGTTCAAGACCAGCCTGGCCAACAAGGTGAAACCCTGTCTCTACTAAAAATACAAAAATTAGCTGGGTTTGGTGGTATGTGACTGTAATCCTAGCTACTTGGGAGGCTGAGGCAAGAGAATTGCTTGAACCTGGGAGGTGGAGGTTGCAATAAGCCGAGAGCATGCCACTGCCCTCCAGCCTGGGCAACAGAGTGAGACTCCTTCTCAAAGAAAGAAGTTACATGCACATGAGCTCCACAAACCTCCTCCAGAAAGACAGAGCTCCAACTACCTCCACTACCTCCCTTCATAAACGCCCCTTTCCTTCTCTCCCTTGGTCTGTCTTTGCTGTCTCTCTCCAGGGAAGCAAGGCGATGCTTGCCTGGGTGACAGTAAACCTTTCCCATGATTATTCTGACTACTTACCTCGTGACCTGTTGGCTGTTCTACCTGACAGTGCCATCAGAGGGAAAGAACATCCACTTTGGGTCTGCAGTGCCAGGCAGAAGGAAAATACTGATTTATGTGAACAAGTTAACAACTTGAAATAATTCTGAGAAAGTCTCACAGTAGCATGTGAAACAATCTAAGAGGCAAAACTGACCACTTTTGGGCACTTCAGTTGACTCTTTGACCTGACTTTATCTAGCCAGCTTACATATGACCTAGTATCCAGGAGCCAACTCAAAGACCAATAGCTTCAGCAGCATGACAGTAATAATCATGGCCGCCTTCCCTGAGCACCCACCAGACTCCAGGCTTGGGTTGTCCTTACCCCTTTGCAGGCCTTTCAGCAATTCTGAGACAGGCATAAATAGGACTAGTCACAATTTGCAGGGTGCAAAATGAATATGTGGAGCCCCATGTTCAAAAAGCGTCAAGAGGGTTTTTTGTTGTTGTTGTTTTTGAGATGGAGTCTCACTCTGTCACCCAGGCTGGAGTGCAGAGGCACAGTCTTGGCTCCCCGAAACCACCACCTTCCAGGTTCAAGCAATTTTCCTGCCTCAGCCTCCCGAATAGCTGGGACTACAGGCGTGAACCACCATGTCTGGTTAATTTTTGTATTTTGAGTAGAGACAGGGTTTCACCATATTGGCCAGGCTGGCTTCGAACTCCTGACCTCATGATCCACCCAGCTTGGCCTCCCAAAGTGCTGGGGATACAGGCATAAGCCACTGCACCCTGCCAAGTGTCAAGAATTTTAAGATGCTGGCAGTGGAATATTAAACCAAGCACTGGCCCTTCTGAGCTCAGGGCTGTGCGGTCACATAGGTTTTGTGGCCCATGAAGCCAGCCCAGGGTGTAAATACACCCATTTTATAGTTGGAAATAATGAGGCTTGGAAAGGTTGACAATTTGCCCCAAGTCTCTGAGTAACAACACTGGATTCAAATGTTCCACAGTCTGAAAACCGAGAATTGTCAAGCTTCTGCCTGTTACCTGGCTCTGTGGACAATAGCATTGTGTGGGAAGCTTCCTTCTGTTGTGTTTCAGAGGTGAGGGCTAGCTGAGGAAGGCATAGGCTCAGCTGTGTCTTATCCAGGCAAGCAGAACTTTCAGGGTAAGAGGCCAATTGAGTGGTAAGAATGCTCAGGTTTCTTATCGCTGAAGTTGAAAAATTGTTAGCATAAGCCATGATCCCAGGCGTCAGCTGTTTTCTCATCCAATACCATATGCCTGGTCTACTTTTTGTGTTTCAAACACAGAACTTCAAACACATCTTCATTCTTACCACTGAAACTGAGTGGACTCTCTGAGTAGTGATTCATTTCTGGTTTTTCATCTTAACCATTTTCCTTTTTCACTCACATTTATGTCTAGTAAAAGTCTTGCTTTCGTATTTCTTAAAATCCACGTGCTGTGATTCTCTTTGCCACCCAGGCTGGAGTGCAGTGGCACGATCTTGGCTCACTGCAATCTCTGTCTCCTGGGTTCAAGTGATTTTCCTGTCTTAGCTTCCTGAGTAGCTGGGATTACAGGTACACACCATGTTGCCCGCCTAATTTTTGCATTTTTAGTAGAGGTGGGGTTTCATCATATAGGCTAGGCTGGTCTCAAACTCCTGACCTCAGGTGATCCCTCCACTTTGGCCTCTCAAAGTGCTGGGATTACAGGTGTGAGCCACCATGCCCTGCCTCTTGCAACTATTAAGAGAAAATTTAGCCTCAAAATTCTTTGATTAGAATTTGTTTATCCCTGGTAATGCAAACTCAGTATTGTCATGTATCTAGGGAAAAGGGGAAAAATACAGCCTGCCATAGGAGTCTTCTTTTTTCAAGGTTCCTTATAGGGCCTTTGTGATACTCTGGACTTGACATCAGGTTGAGGCCGGGCGCGGTGGCTCATGCCTGTAATCCCAGCACTTTGGGAGGCCGAGGCGGGTGGATCACGAGGTCAAGAGATCGAGACCATCCTGGTCAACACGGTGAAACCCCGTCTCTACTAAAACTACAAAAAATTAGCTGGGCA